ATCCACAGTAGTACCAAGCATGTGGCGAGATGAAAATACTTTCTATGGTAAATATGATACAGCTTCTAGTAGGAACTCTTGGTACTGGCAACACCCCCCTTTTCTGTGTGTGTTTTTTTAATCTATTTACTCATTTATATCTGTTTTGCTTTATGAATGTTTTTTGTTGTTGTTGTTTTAGTGGTTTGTTTATATGTCAGGTACATGATTGTTTTTTATTATTTCTTATTTGCAAATAAGAAAATTAATAAAGTACAAATCATAAAAAAGAAAAACTATGCCAAGCACTTTTGCTCAATAGATCTTGTATTATTGATAACCCTTGCAGAATGTATAATATAGTACTAGTCTTATGTATTTAAGAATGACACACAAAATACACAGTACATTTAAACTGTAATGAAACAGAAAAAAGGCTGTAAGACATCATATTTTGTTTATCTAATTTTTTCCATCTTCTTTCTTACAGTTATAAACATGACTACTTCAACTACAGCATCAACAACAATAACAACAACGGCGACGACAGCGATGACAACAACAACAACAACAACAACAACACCGCCGACAACAACAAGACGCTTGACATCTACAACTAAAGTGCCTATGACTACAACTACAAAATTTGTACCCGTGTATCTAACAGCTCTGGTGTTTCGCTCTTTTGACATATTTATAGTTGAACTCAGTGATGTAAACTCTCAGGCTTTCAAGTCAAGAGCTGAGCTTGTCAGATTTCAGGTGAGTTAAAATAAACTTACAAGATTCACAGGTGACACACAGAAAATATCTTGCCTGTATTTAAGACACAACAGATGTTTTAGACCAAAGCCAAACATACTGTATAGGGGTTTGTTATTATTTTAATTGTTTAGTTCACCATAAAGAATTGACACATTTTGTTTTTCCCCTCTTAAAGTAAAAAAGTCCTCAACAGTTATCAATGTAATTTAACAAATGAAAAGTTTCATTCTGATTGTGGTTGTGACTGCCTGTTATTGTATGTTACAGCTTGAACCAATCTACAGAGCAAAATATCCTTCCTTCATCAGAGTGATTGTCTTACGCTTCAGGTAAATATGGAATTTATAGTCATTGTGGGTTTATATATATATATA